CAATCACGGGAGGTCACGTGCGTTTTCTCTACTGTGCTGTCATCTTAATCGTGGCGCCTCTCCATTAGCTTTTCCTCTCGGGTCTGACCGATCTGCATAGAATAGAATAGAATAGAATAGGTTTATTGTAGCGCCCTGGGCACTGTCAGACCCCTTTGAACTCAGGAAAAAAACCTAAAACAAACTCGTCAATTTCAACTTCACTTTGACTTCATTTGCTTCGGGTGTCTGGTTAGCCAAAAGAGCGCGAATTGAGAGTTTGTTTTAAGTTAAAAAAACCTCAGTTCTAAGGGAAAATAATAACAAAATTTTCAAAAAATAACGATATGTGCAATATAAAAATTGAAGTTTGCAGTTTGGTAGTTTTCGGGGGCATGAATAATATGTCCTTCATGGCAATTGAAGAACTTTGATATCGGCCTGACCTTGAAATTATTTTCCTACTGGGTAAATTTCGGTTTGCTCTAGTTGCTGGTTGTCAGTCTATCTGGCCAGCTGTAAGGGGACGGTTGCACAGTTCCTACGTATTTTTCAGGAGGCTTACCAACGTTGTCTGGACTAAGAGTTGGAAAAGATGAAAATATATCAGGAGTAAGAAGCATTCAATGGTAAGTCACAATCAAAACGGTCAAAATACTATTGAATCATGTATCATATTGTTCTTGTTAATGTGAAATTATAGGAGTAGTGGTCGACTGTTTACTATGACCTAATATAGTTCTATATATGTTTAATATGGCTTTAATATAGACATGCGCACGACTAATATGCAGGGTTTTATCGAAGGGTATATTTTTATTAGCTACATAAGGGATATTTAGTGTCACCCTAGTAGCAAGAGTATATCGAGTCGATATACTCCAATAGCGTTTTTCCGCTGTACTCCTCCTCGTAACCTCATTGGTTTATTCGCGTACGCTATCTCGTCTGCCATTGGTTGGCACACGATTAGCTTGCTGCCAAAGCGCGCGCTCACGCCTGTACGCCATTATTTCTTGATTGAAGCGTTGTGCACGTGACTGTCTTGCCTCCTCCTTGCTCTTTACTGTTTTTGCTATATTTCTGCCTGTTTTCTATATCCCATTGACATTATGTTTAAGGAAGAGTCTGAGAGGACCAGGAGACGTCGAATTAAGCGTTATGGGGAAGAAATATTTAGAGAAATAGAAGAAACCGTGCGAAAACGGCGGTCGATTGCAAATGTCGCACAAACTACTGTACACAGTTGCTTTGTTGCACATGATTTGACGGAACAGCAGGGTCAGACTTCAACGCCGGTATACGAAACAGTTCCCGACTACAACGACTGCGAGAAAAACACCGAAACGGACAGCACAGTAATCACTGATGGTGGCAATGTATACGTCAATAAAGTGCGCGATTGGGCCGTCCGAAACAAAATAGCCCACTCTCATCTGCGAGAAATATTAGATATATTTCGGCCGCTCGTGCCGGAACTCCCAGCAGATCCGAGAACTTTGCTGGGGGCGTCGTACAATTTGGAAGTAGTTCCAATGGGTACTGGCGAATACGTCCATGTAGGATTGGAACGGCAACTTCGTAGACTTTGCAGTCAGATGACCGTCACCACACCAGAGGTGGCGATCTACCTGGCAATAGACGGTCTCCCAGTATATAAGAAGTCTAAAGTAGAAATGTGGCCGATATTGGGGAGAATAGTGCGCCCGTTCGTCAGCGATGTCTTTCCGGTAGGTATATATTGTGGTAATGGTAAGCCGTCCAATGTCCACACGTTCAGCAGTTCACTCGTTAACGAAATACAATGTCTACAGGAAAAGGGACTGTGCGTCAAGGATGGACATTCATCACGCTTTGTTGTCGAAGCAGTTATCTGTGACGCCCCTGCAAGGGCATTCGTTAAACAAATTAAGAATGTAAACGCCTATCACGGATGCGAACGCTGCACCGTGGTAGGATCATACATGGGCAAAGTAGTGTACTTAGGGGAAGGGGAGAGACTGAGGAGGGACGCAGACTTCCTGCAGTCTGTGGACGACGAGCACAGGGTAGGCGTATCCCCTTTTTTAAGTTGCAATTTGGGTCTAATTTCAAAATTTCCTCTGGACCCCCTTCATCTCGTATACTTAGGAGTAGTGAAGAGATTGCTTAGTTTATGGGTAAGGAATCACCACTCCAAAGTCAGCGGACGTACAACGCCATCTACGTTGAGACCCGCGGATGTGGAAGCTATTGACAATCGCCTGGGCTCAATAAATACATACCTACCAGCCGAATTTACCCAGCGTGCTAGGCGGTTAAGTGAATTTGAATCATGGAAGGCCACGGAGTTTAGACAGTTTATCTTATACGTTGGCGTCGTTGTCCTCCCTGAAGTATTGCCTCAAAGTCATTTTAGACTTTACCTAATTTTATTTACTGCTTTGCGATTACTTGCATGTCCGAGCACATTTAAAGACAACATAGGTTACTGTAAGCAGTTGCTCAAACTTTTTACCAGAAAATTTACTGCTTTATACGGAGAGGAGCATGCTGTCTATAATGTGCACAGTCTTATACATATTGCAGACGAAGTGGAGGTACACGGTCCACTTGATTCTTTTTCAACATTTCCTTTTGAAAGTTACCTCGGCAAATTAAAGAAATTGCTGAGGAGCCCTTCGCGACCTCTTCAGCAGATAGCTAGACGTCTTAGCGAGATTGAGGTAGCTACGAGCGGTCCAGTTAAGACTTATTCACCGAGACTCTTACGTGGGCATAACCTGGGACCACAACCAGCTGGTTATGAAAGGTACACTCAATATGAGTGCGCTATCACTGAAGGTTTTCGCATTGACACCTCGCCCTCGAATAGATGTATTGGTGTAGGCGAAAAGATAGTATGTGTGAAGAACATACTGTCGGATGAAATGGGTTGTCTGAGCATAGTTTTTTGTGAATTTACAAACATAAATGACTACTTCGACTACCCTAGGCGATCATCGCTTTTAAAAGTGTATAAGGCGAGCATGGATACAACTCTGCAGTGTGCTCCTTTACCGAAGACTTTTACAAAGTACGTATGCGTTGAACAGGAGACAAGTTTTATTCTAATTGAAACAATAGACACGTCATAGATCTATGACGTGTCTTAGAAGACCACTTACTGTCCCTTCGCGTTCGCGAACATTGCTCGTAAACCCTACAAACGCACAGCCACCTTAGTTAGTGGTTTACGAGCATTGCCGGGAGTAAGTGGTTGTTAGCTATTATGCGGCCAATTACGTCATGCAACATCTAACGTTATTTTTCCTGTGCGTTTGTAGAGATAAGCATGAGTGGACTACCACAGAGAAGACTTTCGCAACGCTCTCGACGCCCAGCTATCACCAGGGCTCTCGACTACTTAAGCGGTGAAGGCCTATCATCGCCAGTAAGAAATAGTAAATTTGATATAAAGCATTTAGGAACCTCTTGAGCCCAGTGGTGATGGAGACAACTCCTTCGATACACTACCTCCCGCAGACGACACCATAACCGAAGGTAAGATCTAATTCAACTTATACATTATCCGTAGTCCGGCGTGAACCATCACTTAGTGATCGAATGGCGGACCTTGAGCACACAATTGAAGTAATGTGCCAACATTTGGCACGAATGTCACGAAACCAGGAGTTAATCTTGGAAGGTATCCGCCGTCTGGTGGGCGGTCAACGGGACTTGGAGTCAGCTGTTTCTCGACGGCCGACTACCAATACCACGGTTGCCTCTAGACTTCCCATTAATCCCATAGGCAGCCCTTTAAGAACAGTGGCGGATTTCCGTGCACTAAACGCGAAACTTGCGGACAGTGAAGTTCGCAGTCAATTGGTAAAGGCAGGCAAATTTCATTATTACGTTTATTAGGTTGCCTATCTGGCCTGCCTTGGCGGTCGTTCACTGGACGACTTCACCAAGAGAGTGTATTATGCCCTATTCGTGGATGACATCAGTCTCCACATAAACTTCAAAGGGCGGAAAATGAAGGAAGGGCTATCTGATTCCCCAACCTACGGAGTGATCAAAGGTATGTTCTCACTCATTTTTGATCACTGTTCTATCCACAGAGGTCTTTGGCATTTGGAATGGAGACGGTAAGGCAACCCTTGCCGATCTCGAGGTGTCCGTTACAAAAAGGCTTAAAAGATCACTTGACAGCCTTTCAAAAAAGATGCAAAAGAATATAAACGACACACAGGCCAGCGGTAAGTGTTCCTCAATTACCAATTATACACTACTCTTTAATGTAGATCCAAAACCGGGAACTTCTACGGGCAGCTGCACAAGTTCACTGACGGATAGCCCTAATAAAGAACAATGAAAGGAGAAATAATAATGTACATATTTATTTTTTTATTTTTTAAAATATACTTCTACCAATTCATACGACTTTCGATCGTGGACGGTACTTGGCGCTATTTTATACGCTTGTCCTCGTAACTAAGACTGCGGTACATGATTTAGGAGGAGGACAAGGGTGGATAGAATCAATATAGGTCTATTTAGTATAAAACGGAGGTTTTTCCGTGGGAAAAGGGGTCGTGTAAATTGCAATCCGTGATGCTGCCGTCGTTTTTCGAGTATATCGAAAATTCGATATCTACTCGACATACAACCGCCGGACAAAAACGCTATCCACTCGATATACGTATATCGAAAAAACGCTATCTACCCGCTATAGAGGCGATATACTCTTGCTACTAGGGCAGGTGACATGGCTGATGAAAACGAGAAAGGGAGGAAAATAGAAGAATATCATTAGCTGTTCTATGTTTATCAATGATGCTATCTTTTATAAATTTGATTATTTTTAGTGCTATGTTC